GAACCGTACAGAAACCAACTAACCCAAAGGAATTGATAATGGTATCAAAATGTGCGGTTTTGGTTTTTATATAAAAGAAATTTAAAAAAATTGATATGGTATAAATTTTATAAAAAAACTAGAAAACCAAACCATGTTCACCCCTGGTACTGTTTGGTTTTCATTTCTAATAATGTAAACCAATACCATGCATATCTATTTGAGTTAGCATTACATGAACATAGGCTGCCAAGGCATTTCATTAATCAAGTAGGGCCCCTTCATTGACAAGGATACGAGGGCCGAAAGGGAGATAAAAGACCCCTTAATTGTTCTTATCAACCAAACTACAAATTTAAATCTGACCCATTGTTAATAAGGCAAACATATTTGTTACTGACCCCAAAAGTTTACTCAACTCCTCATCATTCCTCACTGCAAGTTTTATATGCCATGGAATTATCTGATTCTTCTTGTTCCCTTGTAGCATTCCTCGCAAGTTCAAGCCCCTCCAATCAGCAGTCACAATAAAATCAGATCCAAGTAGAAAACTAGAACCCTCCTACCTATATTAATTAAAATACTACATTTAACATATTTTCCACTAGCAACAGACTTCACATCTGAAAAACTCATCAGATGAAGAAAATATAGTAACAAAATTCAAGATATTTTCACATCAGTGCAAGCCTCTGATAAGTAGAACTCCACCATATTCAAAATTGACTACTGTTAGTTAACATTACACTTCCAAGATTTTCCTCTGGTTCAAACACATGCTTAGGATTATAAACCTAGTTGATTGCCGAAAACTTGATAAAATCTCTTTGTTCAATCAATAATCTTGTGTTGTTGATGCCATAGAAAACCAAATTTCCCTTGTGGAAACAGCTGTGCAAGAATTGTTATATATGCAAGGTAAGAAACCCCTTCGATGGGTGAATCTAAGAGAAGAAGAGCACAATGAATTAGTTGCTTTCCTACCTAGAATTCCTGGAACTAAGAAAGATGAATGCACCAAGTTTGGAGTGTCTAGCCAAATAGATCTCTTCAAGAAAACAATCACTTCAGGAAGGAAGCATGACACAGTACAAAAGCTTCGTGCCAAGGAAACTTTTTCTACGATACAAAGGGACTCGAAGATCTTACTATTCGTAGTGAGGATGCCAAGTATGCTATAGATATTGAAGCAGCTCCAGAATTTTCTGAAACAAAGGACAATATCAATAGTCAAGCTGATAGAAACTCAAGTGCCTGGAGAACATGGAGTTCACCAGATTTTGGTGACTTTAATGGATGATAAAGATGAGCAGAACAACTTGTACCGAACATCAAGGTCTCACCAAAACAGAAAGGATCTAGACCTATATTCTGGAGGCAAAGGTGTGGATATCATCCCGAGGCGAAGGGAGGAATATTAAGTTACTCCAAGTTGCTAGGAATCAGGTGGATTAAACAAGTAAGCTTAATGATGCCACTTTTGAGACTAACCTTTGGTTCTTCTGAATTACTTTTTCTCTAAAGAAAGTAGGAAATCTCTCCATATATTTTCTGTTTGTATAATATCCTACAAATAATGGAAGTTCAATGTTCTGCCGACCTTGGGACAGGTTGGTGGCTATCAGAGACAACTTCAAACCCCACTAAATCTAAAATTGAGTTCTGGCCGCTTCACGCTTTCTTTGATGTTGACCACATTCCTAGTGGGTAAGCTCGTGATCAACTTAAAAATGGAGGAAAAGATATAATTAATAATTGGCTTGGTTCATGTGTTCTTTTTCATTTGGCTTCTCCAAGTCCTGTGTCATTTAAAAGCATGCAAAATGCTTAATGAAGGCTAAGATCAATTGCAAAGCAAAAAAAATGACGTCTTTCTGATATATGATTGTTAGTTGAACTAGAAGCTATCTAAGTTGAGTTACGATGAGATTAAATTTTATTTCATTCTTTTCTTTTGCTTTTCAGGGGGAAAGAAAAAAAGATAAAACCTAAAGTAGTTCAAAGTCCTGGACAAAAGTTTTGTTGTATGTAGCGTATATGCTAGGAATTTAGTATTCGAAGTCTTTGTGAAGTCTTTGTTAATTTAACATTTTTTCTGAAATTATACCTAGTTTTTTTGCCGTGCCTTTTGTGCTCTATGCGACCTAAGAGCAAGTTTAAATAGCTCCTGGAAAAGATGAGAAGCACTTTGATAATCCTTGCATCTTGTTTCGTTTCGTGAACATTGTGAATGGAAAGATAGAGGATCTGTTTTACATGCATGTGCTTAGCTAATATACTTCCCGGTGACTGACCATTTTGTTAAAAATAACTTCAAGTCCTTGCTGATAGGTTATGGTCTATCAAATGCAATGTATAGACACTCCTACATGGATAAGCTTCGATATCTAGAGCGTCCTCTATTTGATTCCCTGTTTGCCTATATTTTAAAATTATGTACTGTTCTTTAAGATAAAAAAATTGCCACGTTACTACGTTTTTATAAGTTATATTATTTTAAACTTTTGCATTAAAAAGACAAACGTACAAGTTAAAAAACAGAACAGACCGGTCAAATCCTCGAAATTGTTAGTACTTGCACTACAAGGCGGCTTTTGATCTTGGCTTTCTTCAAGTTGTTTGGAAATTTCAATGTGGGTAGTCCATCAAATAGAGGAAAATACGTGTTTTATTAGTGCTTTTGAAGCAATTTGGAATATAAAAAGGTCAGAAAGTTACAAAAATAAGTTTCAAATATTCTGCAAATAGCACCAGTCTTGGTATTTTACACCAAAAAAAAAAAAAAATCCAGAAAACACCATTCTCTAATGCTAAATAAACTTGAGAAAATAACTTCCTTACAAAAGAAGTGCAGAAAAGCATTCAAACCAAACTTTTTTACAGAGGAAGTCCGAAAAAGCATACAAAACAAAGATTCCAGGACTGATTTTTAGTTTTTCCAACAGATGAAAACAAATGCTCTCATAATATCCCGGGTTTTTCCATCATAACTAACTCCACCCAAACAGAGATGAAGTCTAGATTAATAACTTTCCTCCTGTATTGAAACATGATGAGGAGTTTTGAATGTGCAAAATATCTTAACAAGTACTCTTAACAGATGATTGGCATTAGCCAACTTACAATGATTGTATACGTTCAAATGCACATTCGTAACTTGCAAAGTCATTCTATTACTCAAGTTCTCTGTCAATTGCTTCAAAAGTTAGCAGAAAATTTCCTTGTAGCATTGAACAAAAGCACATATATATCAACAAACACTAACTTTGCTTTACTCATAATTGATAACAAGAAGAAACTGCTAATCTTGGCATAAATTAACATTCTCCACCAACCAAGACTACACAAACATTAACAGGATATAACAGATAAAATTTAGATGCACATTTTTTTTTTTTACCAGATAGCACCTGACAGAAAAGAATTAGATATGGCAGCTAGCTTGATCCACAACTACATTTTCCCAAAAGTAAGTTTCATCCTTACTCCTCTAATGGTTTTTAGAAACCACTACCTCAACACAATGTTGATCAGGCTTTTCTCCCCCAAAAGGAGTATCAAAATCACTTTCACTTTGGCAACAAGAATGCCAACCCACCTTCCATTCCATAAATGGAATATCTCATGGCCTAATCATCATCATTTTCAAAAAGCAAACCTCATTTCCCCAAAAACAAGTTTTCGTCTTGACTCTTCTAATGAACCATTCTTTGGATTACCTGCCATCACTTTCCTTTCCTTATGCATATTAAATATCACTTGTCAACTTGCTAGTTTTAAGTTGTCTATGCCAATCACAACAGTTTCACATCTCTCAACGAGCATATCACCAAATAATAGAACATACCCACTACTGGGTCTGTCTAAAGATGCTCACTTATCTATTAAATGAAAATTAAAGGCAAAATGTCAACAGGTTCATGCACACGACATAAAAATAATAATGCTCTTGGTTTCATTGACATATGCTTTACAGAAATATTTTCTGAATAAATTCAATATGTATAGGTCAATAACAAACTAATTATAATAAAACATGGATGGAATCTTACCTACCATTGCATTCAGAGGAAGTCTTCAATCCCATTGTTTTCTTTGAGATAAGCCTTTATCAATCCCAACCCAAACCCATCAGAAAAGAAGGTTAGTGCACAAGCAGCTTTTGACTCTTCACCTGAGACCTCACTAGAATGATGAAGACTAAATTGCAGTAGCACAGCAAATATCTAGCAATATATTTACTGTAAACTTTATAAAATTTATAAAATTTAGAACCATAATGTAAAGCAGAGACAAAACCATTTTATTTTATTTTATTATTTAGATAGGCACCAAATTCATTTGTTAGTTTTGAAATTCATGGGATACGCAACAAATCAATAAATGCAAAACGATAAAACCACAAGCAAACCATAACAAAGACAACCTGAACTGGAAACGCAGGTCACAGGTAGAAACTCTAACAACTTGTCTATATTACTGGAAAGATGCCACACGTATTCAGAAACTATATAGCCAGACAACAACATTGCCTGAACAAATAAAAATTGCACCCTCAGCATGTAAAAGCAAGATAATATGACAGTGTAAATAAACTAGATATCATTCTCCAAAGATAGGGAGATTCAAGCACAAAATAAAAAATAATTTTCCTGGATTCCCACTAAGATATTTTCTTCTTCATGATTGGATGATATTGAAAATATATAATACAGTTATTAATCACATTCCACCAACAGTTCTCCAAAAATTGTGAGTTTCAACTTGAAAGAAAACTAACTGCTTCAGCAAGAGTTCAACTAATTCAGAGAACTATATCACCTCAATATGCAAGAGCTGCTATCTCATTCAATGGAGCATTAGCAAATGATTGACTGGGCGCTGAACAATAGACACCCTCAATTCATTAAGACCATATATGAAAAGAAAGTTCTGCCTAAAAATAAACTTCCCTAACTATTGTTGAAAACAAAAATTTATGGCCTTCAGCAAAACATAATTCCAGAACACATTGAAGGCACCTAATCTTCATTTATATACCCCTCTTTCCGACCTTCAAACCCAGGCCTCAAGAGCTTCTTCTCTCTTTTTGCAATCTTCCTCATTTTCTTCTGATGTATTCTCTCGGCTATATTTTCTGCCCTCTTTTGTTGCTTCTCCTCCTTCAATTTCTCCCTGCTTTCAACCCTCTCCTTCCACTTCTCCGCATTCTTCTCGTGCCTCTTCTTCTCCTTGTGAATGCTCTGCTTCAACAACTTCGGATCATCATGCACCTTAACTCCCGCAGCCCGGCTTGCTGCTGCCTTCCATGAATGCTTCTTTGCTACAGCCTCGCCTTTCTCTGGATCCTTCTTCGCCTCTTCCAACTGCTTTGCCCTCTCGAGCTCCTTGCCCTTTGACAACTTCCTCTTCGTTTTCTTCCTCCCACTCTCGTCCTCGCCTCCAAGCTTCACTTTCCCGAATTCAATCCCCTTCGTTGCCTCCGTCACATCGTTCTCACCCTCAGGCTTTCCCATATTTCCACCCTTGGCATCCTTGCCACTGTTATCATCCCTCTTCCGTTTCTTAAGCTGATCACCTTTCTTCTCTCTCCTTTCATTCTTCGATTTCTCACCAGTTCCGCGGTTAGCTCGGAGCTCCTCAATCCGGCGGTGAAGGCGTTGCCGGAGCTCCTCATAGGTGACTGATCGCTCATCACAGCCATCGAAATTGGTGGTTCGTTTAATATCTTCCTGCGCCTCGTCGTCGCCTCCTTCATTAGTTTGTTTATCATCGTCGATTTTCTGCTTGAGCAATTCTAACGTCGAGGTTTGGGACTTCTCGGGGTCGAGGCGATCGCGGCGGGCCTTCTTGATGTTTTCTTTAGTCTGCTTCTTGGCAGCGGCCTTCGCAGCTTTGCAGAGCCCTTGAAACCATGGTTTCTTGTCCTCGTCGCTTGGGAGGTAGAACTTGGCAGGGATCAGTTCGATCAGCTTGTCAAAGAACAGAGAGTGGTCGCGAATCAGAGCCTTCAGATCAACGGAGGCAGCAGCATCAGTGGCGGTGGTCGCGGCCCGTGCGGATTTTTCCTTCTTCTTCTTCATTAGGGGCAAGAAGCTGGCAAAGAGGAGTTAGAGTGGGAGTGGGCGGGGAGAGTTTGGGTTTTAGCAAAGAGGAGGTGCAGTGGAAGTCGGCGGGGATAGCTAGGGTTTAGATGGTCACATCGCGGTGGGATTCCAATTTATATACGGGACAGACAGCACTTCACCGGTAAATATTTTAAACTTTAGTATTATATTTTTAAAAATATATAACATTTTTTTAAATATCAAATTTATAATACTTATTTTTTTAATAAATATTTAAATATTTATTAAAAATTATATTTTTAAATAATATAAATATTATTTCAAGAATAAATATTAATTATTTTTATTTTAATATTTATAATTAAATGATATTTATACACTTTAAAAATAAAATTTTTAATTAATATTTTAAAATAAAAACATTTATGTATGTTTGAGTTGTAAAAAAATTAATAATTTATTTTGTGACGTGAGATTTTGTTTTTATTAATAAAATTATATTTTTAAAATTTAATATAAATTTTATTACTCTTTAAAATGTTGATCGAAAATTTTACTTTTAAAATGTATAAATATTTTTTTAAGTATAAATAATTATTACAAATGTTGAAATAGGAGAAAATCAATCAATATTTATAACTGAAATGATATTTATATTTTTTTAAAATAAAAATTTTAATAAAAATTTTATTTAAATATTAATTAGGGGTAAGTATTATAAATTTAATATTTGTATGGAAAAAGTCTCTTTTATATATTTTTAAGATATAGTGCTAAAATTTAAATTTTTTAAGAGATAAATTGTTATTTATTTTTATATATAAAAACACTAATCTCTTGTAATTGGGAGCATGACATGAATAAGTTCCCACCATTTGAAAATTTTTATAAATTTTTTTTTTTATTTCTTACTTTTATTATTCTTCGACAAAAGTTAAATATGGATATAAGTTAGGAATAACAATAAGACAGATCTAAGATGAATCTTATAGTACCTAAACTTATTTGTACTAAAAAAAAGACTCAAATTCGGATTCAAACTCGTGCAATTTTATAATTGTATCTTCATATTTAATTCCATTAATACCCATTTAGTCAAACCGAGATTCATGAATTTAGATTTATAATCTCTTATAAATAATTTTTATAATTCAAAACCTATAAACACTCAAAAAAAGGAAAGTAATCTCACAAAAATATTTTTAGAAGTAAGAAAATCTAATATAATTTATTAGTCTTACAAATGCCAAATATAAAAAGTTCCAATATAAAAAATTAAAATCACCATATATATATATATATATATTAGTAATATGTGGATCTGATGTGAGGTAGGTATTGCAATCTTCAAACCCAGATCCATCTAAATACTTGTTTAATTATTCAGACCTAGACCTAGATTTATTTAGTAACATCTAGACCTAGATCCGTCTAAGTAATCTGTCTAGGTACCCATTGGATTCAGGTTTACTTGCCATGTTCAGTTACGATGAAGTTTATTGCACAAATTTAAGTCCATGTTATAAAAGAAACTATTGGTTCGGTTATAAGTAGAGACTTATTCAGTTATAAGCACATTTCTGTTAAATTACAAACATATACCAAAGTTAATTTTCCAAATTTGAGCCTTTGTCTTACAGTCACATATTTATTTAGTTATATGTAACGTTCCGTTAAGTTATAAACAGATTCCTATTCAATTATAAATATATTTCCATTTAGTTTCAAGCATTGGTTTATTTAGTTATGAGTGTATCTCTATTAATAGATTCAATTATAAACTTAAAATTGAATGTATAAAATATAATTCTATATAATAACCATTAATCAATATCTGTACAATTATTTTTCTTGATATATTTATAATGAATAAATACAATCAATAATCAATATTTGGACAATTGTTTTTCTAGATTTATTTACAATGAATAATTATAACCAATAATCAATACATGTACAATTATTTTCGTTGATCTATATAGAATGAATAATCATAAACAATAATGAATATTTGTACAATTGTTTTCCTTGATTTATATATATTCAGTGAGTAATTATTAAGAAAAATGGAAAAACATTTGAACTATTTCATGTTGAATGTCCACTTGAAATTGCTTCATTTGATTTTTATCATGATAAGTGACGCAAAGCTCAAGCTAATGTAGCCAATAACCTTGCATCTTTTAGTATTTCCTCCCTATATTGTTTTCTGGGGTGCGTCACCCAGTCAGATACATACTCTTTTTTGATCTTTCGTATCATAGCCTGTAGAAACATGTCAGATTAAAATTAAGTGCACTCTCTTGTATACATAATCATAATATTTTTGTTATGATGATTTACTTATGAGAGAATATTTAGGCACGGGTGTATTGTTCCAAGTTTGTATGTATCTCAGTACATACACCTCATAATCACAAATGCATCCACATATTAAAAATGAATAACATGGTAAAACATTATATATTCCAATTAATTTAAATTTACTCTCACCCGTTCGGTTGCTTAGAGACATTTATATATTCCAGCCTCACATGGTCCTCTTATGGAGATCTGTGGCTACATTCTTGCATGAACTCCTTAAATTTTGTTGCTTGGGCAAAAAAAAAATATATATCATTCAAAAGGTGGAGGTAGATAGTATATTCAAATCTATAAATTTGTTGCCAATGCCACGATATCATGAATTGGTCGAGTTCTCTCCTTCTATTTGAAGCAAATTACATAGAGTTTAAAACATATAATATTCTTTGAATAGGGTCCAGCATGTAACAAGTTTAATGGTCCTTGTACATAAGGAGTAAAAAACTAAAATAATTATAAAATTTCAATAACTGTACAGAGAAGTAATAGTAACTAAATAGAAACATACTTGTAACTAAATGTACATTATTATCATAATAATTAAATTTATCCAAGTGTAATTAAAGATGTTATATCCCACAAAAATGTGATTGAAGACGTTCTTAAGGACAGTGGTGTCTTTGGATTTCCCCAAAAATGTACTATTACTTTGTCTTATATGGAAAAAAAATAGCAACTCATCAGATTATTTTGAAATTACTTACTATAAATACAATATTAAAATACTTACCATAAACAAGGGACCATAATATGTCTGGCTACAGTACCATTTACTTATAATTACTCATGATTCATAATATTGCAGCAAACATGACAAGATATTTTGGGTAAGACAATATTAAATAATGCAACTTAATATTAAATAATTCAATTAAAAGTAAGTCATACATACTATATTGAATACTCCCTGTCTATAAAAAAAACTGTATATGTCTAACTTTGATAGGTGAAATCCAAAAATACTAATCATATTATTATATAAATGAATAAATTAGTTTAAAATAACAAATTAATTGAGGTACCTATTAACTCTAACTCTGTGGTCACTATTTAGTGACCAATGTTGTAACCAGTGAAAGAAATAATTAATGACTCATTAGTGACCGATTTGGCGGTCACTAATTAATAACCAAAATTCTATCGTTCACTAAATTTGATTAGTGATGGGGCATTCAATGACCAAACTAATTAGTCACAAATACGATCACTGATTCATTTAGCAACCGTGTTTCTATGTTATTGCAGTCACTAAATCAACATTTTCTATTAGTGTAAATATGTTATTTACCAAAAATATGATAGGACCATTTGTTCCTGGTTTCTCTCTCCCTGCATAAATGACCTAACACATTAAATTATATATTCATAAAAAGAAAAGGAAAAAAGGGCCTAAGGCGGTTACACCTAATAAAAGCAAGGCAATATAATTCAGAAAACTTAGTTGCTTCTAATTGAATTTACAGAGACATATATATACACATGCATTGAGCAATATCATCCCTTAAACCTAGAAAAATCAGAAACAAACACTACAAGAAAATGGCAAATTAGCGACACAACTTACTGATGCAAAAAGATTCTCATTGGAATACAAACAATATTTCCAACACATAAAGAGCATCGGTAATTTACCGACGCAACATCGACGCAAAAATGCGTCAAAAATTTACCGACAAAATGCTTTCGTTGGTAAATATTCGGTTAAAATATTACCGACACAAATAATGTATCGATAATAATAAAAAAGAAATAAAGCATTACCGACGCAAACATTACGTCGGTAATCTACTGTACATAAAAAAAATAATTATAATAAAAATAATTTCAAATATTAAATTTACCGACGCAAAGGTTTGCGTCAGTACCTTAAAAAAAATAATTAGTATAAAAAGGAATTTCAAAAAATTAAAATTACCGATGCAAAACATGCATTGGTAATTAAATTTCTATTACCGACACAATCTTTTACACCGGTAATTTTTTAAAAAATTAATTATTTAAGTTACCGACGCAATATTATGTTAGTATTTTGAAAAACCGACGTCAGTAATGGGCGGCTTCACGCTTTTCAAGGTGCTCCAACCGAAGAGTTATTGATGCACATTACCGACGCAATGCGTCGGTAACTCCCCCTATATATAAACCATTGGCCCCAGCCCCCCGCTTCTATCTTCGGCTCTCTGTTCTCTCTCTCGTTTCTCTCTCTGTTTTTTGCAATCGCCAGCCTGCTGCACTCCACCACCACCCCACTACACTCCACCGCCGCACCGCACTGCACTGGTACGATTTGTCTCTCCCATTTGTTTAAATTGCATGCAATGGTTATGTGTACATATATATATATACACACACATGCTTATATACATGCATGCTTAAGATTGTTTTTTGTTTTTTTTATTTATTTATTTTTATGTTTATAACATGGGATTGTTTTATGTTTTTTTAAATTTTTTTTATGTTTATAGCATGGAATGGCCGGCCCTTCCCAGCTGGGGCGCTGGGCCAACCTAGCCGGGGCCGCCTAGCTGGGGCACTGGGCCGGCTCGGTCGGGGCAGCCCAGCTAGGCCGCTGGGCCCGTCCTAGTGTTGTTCTCTGGCAATCCTAATGTATGTAGGTGGTCTTGTCAGAAATAGGGCTTGAAGTTGTCAGA